TCATCATCATCATCATCATCATCATCATCATCATCATCATCATCATCATCATCTTTGTATAAAGCAGATGTTAAAACTGTTAAGACCTGGTAGTATTTCCTAACATTTAATCACAAGTTCTACGTTTCGCCTTCAACGGGCTTCCTTGGGAACATTCAGAATATAAATGACTACACTAGCTGTAGAAAACAAAGTGCGTACATACGTGTCACGACAATCATCATAAATTACAAAAACAACATCAAGAACAGCAGCAGCAGCAAAAATTTAAGTAAACCTGGCATGTCTTCCCTCCCACAATTTATGTCAACACCCCTTCCCCCTCCCCCAAACCACGCCCCCAGACGCTCGTGACGCACTGCTGTGCATTATGAAGGACACAGTAGCCGCCCAGTGGGATAACCCCGCCCATGACTCGGTGAAGGTCACCTGCGCCCTGGGTCTCTACTGTTACATAACAGGCGACTATAGAGAGGTAAAAGATTTAAATTAGATAACAACGAGTTTGACAGGGTGATTTTAAAGTACTTGATCATTGTCGTCGTCGCCATTTTCACCGAGATAATGTGTTGTTTTTTTTAGCTGATAGTGTTGCACAGTTTGTGGTCATAATCGTGGAGGTTAAACGTAGGTAACAAACCTGGTGCAGGTCTGAAACCCTGAGGTTTTGATTATTTCAAACCCTTGAAAGGCATAGGTGGTTTTCATATCTTTGAATAGGATTTGAAGGACCAGAGATATCTCCCTTTGAACAAAGCTGATGATTTTCAACTCAGATGTGAAGTCAGCCTTGTTGTATGAATGTGAGGCATGGAATGCATCTCAGACTTGTGTAAAGAGGGCCCTGGTTTTCTTGAGCAAGTGCAGTATCTAAGGAAGTTTCTGAGAATCAGATGGACAGGCAAGGTCACCAACGAAGGAGAACAAGACAGACCAGTCAGAGATGAGGCAGGAAGACGGCGGTGGCGATGGATTGGACATACTCCCAGGAAGTCAGGCAGCTGCATAACAAGGAAAGTGTTGGATTGGAACCCACAGGGAAAAAGATCAAGGGGAAGACCACGTGGAACCTGGAGAAGAGGTCACAGAAATCGATGAACAGAAAAGTGGGAAGACATGGAATGTCATCAAGAGGCTAGCCCAGGATAGGGAAAAGTGGAAAGTGTTTGTTCGTGGCCTATACCCTGACCCAGGATGGGAAAGGCAATGATGATGATGAAACCCTTTATCTGGAGAGATATTTTTTTTCAAATCAGAGTCCTTCACAAAATTCTCAGCAAAACAAGGACATGAAGCTTTTATTTATGTGTGTTTAACAACCCATCTAAAAAAAAAAAAAAAAAAAAAAAAAAAAAAAAAATTATATATATATATATATATATATATATATATATATATATATATATATATATATATGTATACTTACCGGCAAAAGTAATGCGAATTCACATGACACAAGAAGAGGAGAGTAAATTGAAGCAATATTTTTGTTTAGAGAAACAGGTTGGAGGTGTCTCAAATTGCACAAAACAATGCTTGAGAGTTGGGGATTTACTTGGAGACAGATTTTGTTATTCGACATCAATGACCTTGACCTTGGGGCTTAAGTTCCAGTCAGTATCTGGTATGGCCCATATGGTGTGGCCCCCATTAGCATTGATGACAGCAATGCTTCGGCGGTGCATAGAGTGGACCAAGCGATTGATTTGGCAGTTTGGGACCTGCACCCATTCCTGAAGAATAGCAGAACCCAGTTGTGCAGCTGTCTGGGGTCTGGGCTGGAGTTGGTTAAGACGCCTCTGAAGGATATCCCAAAGGTATTCTATTGGGTTCACATCAGGTGATCAGGGTGGGTGAGGCATGGTGAGTATGATTTTCTGCACCAGGAACTGCTGGGTAGCACGTGTTTTATGAGGCCGGGCGTTATCATGCTGGAAGAGGTGGTTTTGATGTCTCTGGAAAAATGGAGCAACATGGGACTGCTGGACTTGGTTGATGTAGCGCTGGGCCGCCACTCCGTTGCCACGTCCAGGTTCTAAATTTTGGAAGATTATGGGGCCCAGTATTTGATTGATACCGACTGTGCCCCATATCATCACGCTTTGACCTTCCCACGGGTCTCTCTCCCAGATGTTCTCGTCAGAGTAGCGTTGTCCGGGGCGGCGCCAAATTAGGACCCGTATATTGTCAGGATCGATGCAGAAGCGACTCTCGTCGCTGAAGATCATACGCTGCCACTGTCGATGACACCAGTTAACGTGGTTCTGAGCCCACTGAAGACGAGCTCGTCCATGATGGAAGTTCAGGGGTGCTCTCTGCTCCGGACGCCGACAACGCAGCCCATTGGCCACAAGTCGGCGGCGTATGGTGCGTCACTCACGGCTCTACCGTGCGTTCCTATGGTGTTCTGGGCTGTCTCGGAGGCAGACAAACGTGGATCTCAGCGATGCTGACGCACGACAAAGCGGTCTTGGGCAGCTGTTGTCAGTCGAGGTCTTCCGCTTCTTTGGAGATCTCTCGTTGAGTTGGTTGCCTGGAATCTGTTTTGCAGGCGGTAGATAGTGCAGGCATGCACTCCCAGGACTGTTGCCATCTGCTGAGGGCTCTCGCCGGCTTGCAGACGTCCAATAGCTCTTTCTCGATTTTTCCGCAGATAATCTTGGCATCTTGATAGTCGGACTATGCAACACCCAATCAAAAATTTTAGGGCAGAGAATTTATAGGCCAGACTAACTTGACAAGTGAGAAAAAATCCACCATTCAATTCACAGTTTAATTGCGTACCATTGAGAGGGTTGCTTTCTTAATGTTATATTGTTTCATTCATACGCGGCCAATGAGCGTGTTGTGTTTTTAAATCGAGCCAATCCAATAACAAGAACACAATATTGTGAATAGAGACACATGAAAACAACTCACGAAAATACTCAGGGTTTTTTTCTACTCATGGTGTTACTTTTCGCCCTATTTATGCAGGTCAGTATAATAATAA